ATATATTTGTGCGCCCTCCCTCAGGGCCACTTAAATTACAAGCTGCTTATGAATCAGAGGGAGGGAATCAACGTGTTTCTAATAACACTGTACTTCACAGAACCTTCATGAGTTATCGTGTGCCTGCTAGGGGCCTGGCACTGGTTAGGTGCTTTGGGTGTTAGGTTAGGAATAATCAGAGCAACCCCGGAGGCCTGAGGGGATTAGGGAGCACTGGTTTAGACGCTTTTGAGGTGATTGGGTGGAAGGGAGAAGAAACAGGCATGGGGCTGGGAGGGCACTGTGCTGCCCTTGGACCAGGGTCTCTGAAGTTGGTAATGGAACAATTTACTTAGTTCTGGAACTATTTATCTCATAAAGTTTGACAGATTTCCTCAGGAAGAGGCTGTAACAAATACCCTGGAACAACAGATCACATTTCTTAACTTGTGTCTGAATTCCAAGAGCTCCGCGTGGCGTGGTGCTGATTATCTCCAGCTCATCAGAAGCTCTGATTGAGACTATAAGATATCTCTGGTTAATACAAGATGAAGAAATGAAAGTCTATTTACTTAATATATACAGCCTAGCGAAAAAAATTCTTCCCAGAACTGGGACCAATCATGAATGGGTTTCTCCATAGGGTGGTTTCATTCAACTTATTAAACATGTGGGGAGTACTCACCCTGTGTTCTCATTTTCTTGTGCAAACCGTGTGCTCAGATTTAGTATCTGTAGTCCTCACACCACCTGTATATAGAGGGTGGGCGCCCAACTTCCAAATGAAGAACTGGAAGCCACTTTCCCGAGAACATAGAGTTAAAAGGAAGCTAGGTCACGATGCAAACCCTAGTTCTGTTGAAACTCCAAAGTCCACTCCAAGAATGTACTGTACCCCAAAAATGTGCCACATACCATTAAGTGCAAGATGACTACAGGTAAGTACAAATACAGCAGGGCAAACATGATGTCAGAACTAAAGATACGCTGACAGAGGAATGATGACCTCACAGTGACATGTCAGAAAGGCTCTCTCACGGTGAATTGGAGACACTGGTTTGGATGATGTTGAGATGAATCACAGCTCAGATTTTTAGGTGAAGAAACCAAGACGGACACAGTGGTTGCACCGTGGTCACTGATCACACCTGCCTCAATTGCTCTTACTAAATTCCTAATATGAACCAGCAAACTGTATACACAGCAACTCTACAAAATGTCACACGTGATTAGGCTCAGGGGTTAACATAAGAGTCACAGAGCCTGCAAAATCCTGCAGGATTTGGTGACTGTGACTGAGTGAGCTTCTCTTGGTGGACAGACCATAAAAAGTGTTTTGTTGTTGTTGTTGTTATTGTTATTGTTGTTATTTTATTTCAACGATCAGCTCTGTGCCACCTCCCCCGGAGAGCCCTGCCAAATCTTATGATAAATATCTGGCTGCAATAAGTTTTCTAAGACTCAGTCTCTTTAAAAAAACAAACAAAACTGGATGGATCTGATTATGTTTTAAAATGTCTCTCAGTCAAGGTGGGAGACAAGGAGCAGCCCTTGCTGTCGTGTGGATGCAGTGTCTTGTACTGTAAACTTTTCTATGTCTGTGCTTATTATAGTCCCTCTCGTGTGGACGGTGTACTGCACACGTCTAAAGGCCAGCCCCTGAGAGGACTGTGTATTGTCTGATCTCAAAGGTCTGGTCTGGGGCCTTCACCTTCTCCTTCTGAAGAGCTGGGAGTGAGCTTACAGAACCACAGAAAGCTGGGGTCTTAGAAACATCGACTCCCGGCATGTTAGAAACATACTGACTTGGAGCATCCTGGACCTTACTGAATATTACTGTCCTAAAACTACGGGCTTGTTTTATCTGAGGCTATTAGAATGGAAGGATCCTAGTATGTTAGACACCAGGAAATCATCTGTTCAGCAAATCTTTAGTGCCCAGTGTGTGCCAGGCACTATGCTAGATTCTGGGGGTACAGAAGTGAAAAAGACTGCTCAAGTTATTGCGCTCAAGGCGTTTGCAGAGAGTGCCAGGATGTAAGAATCTTAACATGTTAGATTCTTAGAAAAGTAAAACAATAGAGTGTTGAGGTCCTAGAATGCCAGCTGGGAGGGGGCGTTGCTGGATCATTCTCTCCAGCTCTCTCTACCTTTTAGGAAGCTCAGAACCTGTTTTAGGCATGTCCGATTGAAATCCCACTAATAAGAACATCATTTCAGTTCCGTGACATGACAGAATGGCCAGCTTGCAGTGAGGCCACTGAGGCTGGGAGGGCG